GAGCATCAGAAAGCCAAAATAAAGGGAAAACAAGCCAAAGTAAAAGAGCTGAAGAAAAGATTTCAAAGGGCAGCTTGAGAAGACAAAGTATTATAATTGAATGTGCAGAACACCACAATTGGAAAATAAAAAGGGAAGAACTCACTCTGCATTTCTCAAGTTGAGAGAAATTAAAAACAAATTTAAGTCTTGAGTCACAATATTGAAAGATGCTATGGGCTGTATGTTGAATGCTCCTGGGAGTATCAAAAGAAGATAAAAGGAATATACACAGTCACTGTACCAAAAAAAAAATTGACTAACACTGAAAAATTTCAGGAAGTACTATATGAACAGGAACCAATGGTAATGAAGTAGGAAGTTGAAGCTACACTGAAGACATTGGCACAAATAAGGCCCCAGAAATCGATGGGATACCAATTGACTTGTTTCAGTTAATAGGTGCAGCCCTGGATGCACTCACCTGTCTATGCCAGGAAATTTGGAAGACATCTGTCTGGCCATCAGATTGGAAGAGGTCATACTTGTTCCCATTACCAAGAAAGATGATCCAACAGAATGTGGAAACTATTGAACACTAGTATTACTATCATATTCAGGCAAAATACTACTGAAGATCATTCAAAAATGGCTAGAACAGTACATAGATAGGGAACCTCCAGAAGTTCAAGGATGATTTAGAAGAGATCATTCCACCAAGGATATCATTGCTGATGTCAGATGGATCCTGGCTGAGAGTAAAGAATACTTAGAAAATGTCTGTTTATGCTTTATTGACTATGCAAAGGCATTTGACTGTGTGGATCATAACAAGTAATGGATAATATTGAGAAGAATGGGAATCCCAGAGCACTTAATTGTGCTTATACAAAACTAGTACCTAGATCAAGAGATTGTTATACAAACAAAGCAAGGGAACACTACATGGTTTAAAATTAAGAAAAGATGGTGTCATGGTTGTATTCTCTCTCCACACCTCTTCAGTCTATATGCTGAACAAATTATTTGAGAAGCTGGATTCTGTGAAGAAGAATGTGACTTAAAAATTGGAGGAACACTCATCAATGTAACCAGTATTATGGAGATCACACAACTTTGCTTGCTGAAAGTGCGGATTGAAACACTTGTTGCCAAGGATCAAAGAATGCAGCCTTCAATGTGGACTGCATCTCAACATCAAGAAAAAACAATTTTTACCACTGAACCGATAGGCAACATCATGATAGTTGGAGAAAAGATTGAAATCATCAGTAACTTCATCTTCATCTTATTTGGATGCACAATTAACACCCTTGGCACCAGCCAGCAGTCAGGAAGTCAGGAGACATTACTTGGAAAAGTATGAAGTCAGGGACTTCTCCAAATTATTGAGGGGCAATGATGTCAGTTTGAAGACTAAGGTGCATCTTTCCAATCACTTGCCACCTGAGAGCTGGACAATGACTAAAGATGATTATAGAAAAGAATCCATGCTTTTAAGCTATAGTGTTAGAGAAAAGTTCTCACCATCCTATAGAATGCCAAAAGGACAAACAGATGTATCTTGGAGAAAGTACATCCAGAGTGCATATTTATTAGGGGGGAAAAATACTCCCAAGGGACCTGCCAGAATTAGTATGGTATCAATCACTTGCTGTTATGTGCCATCAAGTTGCCTGCCACACTATGTATAGCAGCTCTGAATCCTGCCCTGTTCTAAGCCAGTTTCACTAATTCCAAAAAACCAACACACATTGCCCCAGTTACTGTGTCAATCATCTAGTGTCTTTCTCTCCTGTGCTGTCCTTCCACCCTTCCAAGCGTGATGTCCTTTTCCAAGGACTGGTCTCTTCTGGCCACGTGCCCAAAGCATGTGAGATGGAGCTTCAAAATCCTACCCTTCAAGGAGAAACTTGTTTTGAAACTTGGTTTCACCCTCTCCAAGACAAACTATTTTTTTTTCTTAGAAGTCTGTGGTATGTTCAAGACTTCTCAAGCACTACAATTCAAAGGTATCAATCCTTCTTCTGTCATTCTTAGTCATTGTCCAGCTTTCTGAAGCATAACAAGTAATTGCAAAGGCCATGGCCTGGAT